TGTAAAATTGATATTCAACGAAATATTTGCAAAAAACATTTGAGTCTAAATTGTTTAATTATTCTTCTTAACGGTCACTGTATAATGGTAAACTTTTCCCCCTTTCCCTGCAAAAATGAAGGTCTGTACCAAAATTCAGCTTTTTAACATTTTTTCCGACCTCAAACTCTAAAATAACTGTATTATTATTACAGATATAAGAAAAGGAGAAAGAGTGGAGAGGGGGAGAGTGAGAGGATGGGAAAGGATGGGAGTGGGTGAAAAAGGGTGAGAATGAGTGGGAAAGGGTGGGAGAGGTTGAGTGGCGGTGGGGGTGGGTAAAAGGGGGTGGCAATAAGTAGGGTAGGGGGATGTGGATGGGAGAGTGTGGGAGAGTGTAGGTAAGGGTGTAAGTGGGTGAGAAAAAATGAGAGAGGGTGACAGAAGGTGGGAAGTGTGGAAGAGAGTGGGTGTTGGTGGAAAAGGGTGGGAAAGGATGTATGAGGGTGCAAAAGGGTGATAATGTCAGAAGAAAGTGTAAGGTTAAGGCCATGTGCCTTGGCGGCCACCCATCTCGGACAAGATGGCGGCTGGACAAGTACGACGACGTATCTTAATAAAAATTACACATTTTTGACCGAAAAATTTCTAAAAAATTTATATCTTTACAACCACTGCAATATCAACTTCGTCAAAATGTCATTTTACGCGGAAAAGTTAACGCTTTTTATTGATATGGCCATCTTTGAAAAATATGTTCTTGTTCATGAGATATTTCAAATCATTGTTTCAAATATTCACGAAATTGTGTTACCTCCGGTAAAGGATACACAGTACCGTTCCTTCCAGTTTTTTCGATATCTCTCGATATTTTCGCTATATTTTCGATATATTTCGATTGAATTTGAAAAATTTGAGTAAAACATATATTGACATTTTAGAAGAATTATCTGACACACTTTAAAAAAAAAATAAATTAACCTTTAACTACTGACAACACTATTAACTATATAAACAGGCTATGATATAACAATAACACGTATTATTTCTTTGAATTGCTGAGTCGCAACAACCAACACATAACATCAATATGTAAGTTATTGCAAATTTATATTTTTCGGAGTGTTCTTCATTGGAATCCTTTTAACATATCTATTTTGGAAAAAAAAGGATTGAAAAAATGGGACTCATCTCGCGAAGATGCCGGAACAGACTGTTTGCGTTGTCCAACGACGAATTTGGGCTCCGTGCATTTATTTGAGAGATGGTCTTAAACATAAGACATCTAAGAATATTTGTTTCAATCATTGTAATTAAATCGAATGATAATCGAAGTTTCGTCTTTACGTAGTTACGTCTTTGCAAGATTATGTTTAAATTTCTTTATTATATTTTATAATTTTATACTTGCGGTTGATTGTATTGATAAAGACCTAGTAAGGTCGAAACGTCTACATTTATATTATGAATAAATAATTTTTAATTATCCTTACATCTAAATTATTTTTGCTCGTTTATTTAGCCTATTATTTATGTTTTATTAATTTTAAAACATATATACCTTCAATATATTTCGAATGAATTTGAAAATTTGAAAAAGATATCCTTAACAAGACGCTACCGCGTCTCTTGATATAAAAATCAAACGATTAAAAGTACGAGACAATAATCAACATATCACGCCGAAGCATCGTCAAGTTTTAATATACTTTTAATAAGCAGATTTACACGACCTATATAATTTTGTTGTACATGTTGTTTAAGCATTCTGTATCCCTTTGTGAATTTATGTTATTATTTTGTTTTTTAATGAAAAACATTTCTGCTACCTCCCTCTTTTTTAAATGGTTTTTTGTATGTAAAATGTCAAATTTTTTCAATCAAAATCGTGATTAAATTCACATCGGTGCTTACTTACAATTGAATGCAAACTATGATGTAATTTAATATTTTTACAATGTTCCTTAATCCGTTTAGCGACATGTCTCTTTGTTTGTCCCACATACGATGCAGTACAATTATTGCAATTTAATTTATATACAACGTTAGTCACAGAATCAATCAACAAACTGTCCTTCCCACACTTAATTAAGGAATTAAGATTCTTCGGTATCATATAAACAACATTTATCCCATATTTCTTTAGAGTGTGAGATGTTATCGCTATAATTATTCACATATAAGATCGACATTTACGGTGTTTTCAACTTCTTATCTATTACAATAGTTGTTCGAAATTGAGAAGAAAATTAATATAATTATTTAAGTCTATAATTTCAGTCTAAAAATCGATATTTTTTTTACATGAATATGCAAAAAAAACCGCGGAAAAAAGGGCTCGCCCGATATAAACAAGTAGGCGATAAATCAGGATTATCCTAACAAGCTGTCAATAATAACAACATTGCTCAACCGAAAGCAACGATTACCGCATTGATTATCGATGTAATAGACATGCGCCGTTCGATCACGTGGCTTCCGAAAGCCAATCGATCCCGATATCGAGCGTTTCGCGCATGTTAGGTGCGTGCTTGTTTCGCGTAAATTACGGGGCGGCCAATAAAGACAGGCGCCCTCGCGTCACCTTCGAACATTTTTAAACAAACGAAATTAATTGGTGAAGAAAAAATTAGTGGGGCTTCAGTACCGCACCGATAAAAGAAGCGCCCACCAAAATTGGGCCGCTAGTCTCTCGAGTTTTAGTACGTACAACCGCTGTCAAACCGCTTAGAAATTACCGCAATTATTAACCGCACACGCACTTTGAAATCAATCTCGGCTTATCTATTGGAACTTTTGTAAAATTACTGTATCGTCTAAATTGTGTTAAAGTAAACTTTGTGTTATTTTTTAAAGGGTGATCAATTCTTTTCGGCCTTCAAATACGCGCTCTCTTTCACGCGTTCGCGCAAACATATTTTTGGTCCTTCGAGCCGGATTATCAGTTCGTCGCGCCGGCACGCGTGTGAACGTTCTTGAAGACGAGAGTGAAGTGCCTGAAAAAGAAATACAGTGAGTGTCACATCATGGATGCCGCTATATTATTAGATAGTCAGCGTGAGATCCAAGTTCGAATCTCACGCTCTGTCGAATACCTGAAGAAGATGGGCGCTCCTAACATCACATCCAGTGCCGTCACTACCCGCATCAGACTTCTCGATCAAGCCTGGGATAAGTTCGTAATCCAGCACAATCAGCTGCGCATTGCCCTGAAAGATAAGTTCAGGGAAAGTGATTACGTTACTTCAGGACTCCATGATTTGACTGAAAATACGTACGTACAGCAAAGGAGCATCCTGGACGGCTACGCTAAACGCATTCGGTCAGCCTCGGAGACAGTCAAGTTAAACGAAGCCGCTCCTCGAACCGCATTACCTCGGGTCAGGATTCCGCAGTTTTCGGGAGCTTACTCCGAGTGGCCAACCTTCCGAGATCTCTTCCTGTCTGTCGTCGGTGATAACGCCACCATCTCTAATATCGAACGCCTGCATCATCTTCGGTCGAGTTTGAACGGACAGGATAAAAAATTGATAAGCTCATTACCGGTGACAGGAGACAACTACGAACGTGCATGGACGATACTGTGCAAACATTATGAAAACGAGAGAGAACTCATCCGATGCAACTTCGCCGCATTTACCGCAGTGCCGAGAATGAAAAACGGAACCGCTGAAGAACTGCATCGCATCCAGAACGCTGCCGTCACAGACGTCAACGCACAGGAAAGTATAGGTCGTCCCATTGAATCTCACGGAATGGACCTCCTAAACTACCTGATCGTCGAACAATTCGACGCACACACTCGGATGGAATGGGAGAATTCCATATCCGACTCCAACAAGTCACCACAGCACGAAACACTTTTGGACTTCATGACGCGACGGATGTTCACACTTAACGCCGTGCATCCGAAGACTCTCAAGAAGAACTTTGGAGAGTCTTCACGAACGGCGAAGACATATGTTGCAAAGCACGGAACTGACCTTCCACAATGCGCACTGTGCCATGAAAATCACCATCTGATGACGTGTCGCAAATTCAAGACAAAATCCGTTGCAGATCAAAAGGCCTTTGTTGAGACACACAGACTGTGTTTCAACTGCCTCGGAAATCACTATCTCACAAAATGTCAGTCGAAGAAGAACTGCTACACATGCAAGGCACGGCATCACACTTCACTGCACGACGCATACATCACGGTCACCGCACATACACCAGAAGCCACTTCACTCGCCGCACTGCACAAAGTCAAGGAACAGAAGGCTGTACTTCTCGCCACTGCTCGGGTGAACATAGCCGATCGCCATGGAGCACCGCACGACGTCCGAGCACTAATCGACCAGGGATCAGAGGTGTCGATCGTTTCTGAAGCACTGGTGCAACGATTGAACCTGCCTCGATCACGCACCGACATGGCCATCTTTGGGATCGGAGGCGCACGACCAGGATCAACGCGTGGCAAGGTCACGCTGCACCTCACTTCGGACATCACGAACGCCCGGCTCTCCGTGATAGCGTTTATATTACCACGCCTATCACTTCTTCAAGGCTCCCCGTCCAGCACACTACAAGATTGGCCGCATATTCGAGGACTCCAACTGGCGAATCCTCAATTTCACGAGAACGATCCAGCCGAGCTACTCCTGGGAGCGGAGGTGTGCTCCTTAATTCTTGAAGAGGGTCTACGCAAGGGTGGACCTCAGATGCCAATTGCGCAGAAGACATCACTAGGATGGATACTTTCTGGAGGCTCCGACGTCGCATCCGCAGAAGAGCACCGTCGCACATTCCAGTGCACTGCCGATCACGAGCTACTCGAGCTGGTGCAGCAGTTTTGGGAACAGGAACGGAAGCCCAACGCAGTCACGACACTCTCCGTCGAAGAGTAGCAATGCGAGGAATTCTTCGTGCACACGCACACTCGCACCTCTTCAAAACGATATGTGGTGAAGCTGGCGTTATCCTCACCAATCACTGCACTCTGCGAAACCCGTAAACCAGCTGAGCGGCTTCTTACAACGATGGAAAGGCGATGCGTCCAGGATCGTCGATTCGGCAATCTGTATCGCAACTTCATGAAAGAATACGAAGACCTAAAACATATGACGCTGGTGACATGCTCCACAACTAGCAATCAGTCAACGTACTTACCACATCATGGAGTACTCAAGGAGTCCAGTGCCACGACGAAGCTGAGAGTCGTGTTCAATGGGTCGCAGCGAACGCGAACAGGAGACTCATTAAATGTACACCTCATGACTGGAGCAAATCTTCTGCCAGCTCTTCCTGACGTACTACTTCGATGGCGTCAACACCAGTATGTCTTCGTTGCTGATATAGAAAAAATGTATCGGCAGATACTCGTGCATCCGGATGACTGCAAATTCCAAACGATCCTGTGGCGTCATTCAACTGATGATGAAGTGCGAGAGTACCAGCTGAAAACGGTCACCTACGGTCTGGCGTGTGCTCCGTTTCTCGCCATACGGACACTCCGTCAGCTCGCAACAGACGAAGAAGAGCAGTTTCCTCGTGGCGCCGTGGCTCTGCGTCGAGACTGTTACGTCGACGATGTGGTCACCGGCTCAAATACGCTGAACGATGCGATCGCACTCCAGACGGAAATTCGCAACCTCTGCTTGGCGGGCGGATTTCCGTTGAAGAAGTGGGCAGCCAACGACGAGAGGATCCTGACTGGAGTACCAAGCGATCATCTTTTGCAGCAATTGCCGCCAGCCTGGGAAGGAGAGAGCCACTCCACGCTAGGACTCCGCTGGCACCCGCAACACGACCAGTTCTCCTTCGTGTTTCATCCGCACGCTGCCATCAACCACACGAAGAGAACGGTTTTATCCGAAACCGCACGGCTCTTCGATCCAATGGGGTGGCTCGCTCCAGTCGTGATTCGAGCAAAAATTCTCATCCAATCCACGTGGCTGCAAGGATTGGACTGGGACACCCTGCTGCCGCCATCCGAAGCTCGAGAGTGACAACGTCTTCTAGAAGAACTCCATCTTCTAGATCAGTTGCGAATAAAACGCTGGCTCGGGACCGGAGCAGATAAGACCACGCTGCAGCTTCATGGCTTCGCCGACGCATCCGAACGAGGATATGCCGCCGCAGTATACATCCGCATCACTGAAAGGAACGAAACGTCAATAAGGTTATTGATGGCCAAAAGCAAGGTAGCACCCGTCAAACAAGTGACCTTGCCGAGGCTGGAGTTGTGCGCCGCCACGCTACTCACCAATTTGATGCGACATGTCAAACAAACGCTCGACCTGGCAACATCAGACACATACTTATGATCTGATTCAACAGTGACCCTCCAGTGGATTCGCGGTCACTCCTCACGCTGGAAGACTTTCGTCGCCAATCGAGTCGCTCACATCCAGACGCAGCTGCCTAATGCACAATGGAGACACGTAGCTGGTCGCGACAACCCTGCGGACTGTGCATCAAGGGGTATTAATCCAAGCGAACTGATCATGCACGCTCTATGGTGGACAGGACCTACCTGGTTATCACAGAACGAATCGGCCTGGCCAAATTCCGAGATGGAGATCCGAGGAGACGACGTGCTAGAAAGGAAAGCCACGAGCCTGATGACTGTGAACCGGGTCATCGTCGAGCCAGAAATCCTGCTCCGCTTCTCATCACTGCATCGCCTGCTACGGATATCCGCATGGTGCCGTCGCTGGCTGCGCGCTTCAGAGCCGACTCACACTGCTGGATTAACGTTGAGTCCGGAGGAACTTGACATGGCACTCTTTCGTTGGTTTCGAGAAGTGCAGACACTGCACTTCACGGACGAGATCACCGCAGTCGCAGCTGGACGCTCCGTCGCACCAAGCAGCACATTAGTCAAGCTGACTTCGTTTCTCGACGACCATGGTGTTCTGAGAGTGGGAGGTCGGCTTAAGAACGCCCTGCTGACACAGGATGAGAGGCATCCGATGATCATTCCAACCTCGTCGTGGCTGACTCGTCTGCTGGTGGAATCCTGTCACCGTCGGACGCTGCATGGAGGAGTGCAACTCACCCTGGGGCTGCTTCGACTGCGCTTCTGGATTCCACGAGGACGCACAGTTGTAAAACAACAACTACATCGTTGCGTCATCTGCACAAGATGGCGAGCAACGACGCTTCAGCCACCGATGGGTAATCTACCCCGCGATCGGGTCACTCCGACTCGGCCATTTCTGCGCACTGGAGTGGACTATGCAGGACCCATCCTCATCCGGACGAGCAAGGGACGAAGACACCGCGCCTATAAGGGCTATATCGCAGTATTCATCTGCTTTTGGTCCAGAGCCATCCACCTCGAACTTGTCTCGGATTACTCTTCAGAGGCCTTCATCGCCGCTTTACGTCGCTTTGTCTCACGTCGAGGTCTCTGTACGGACATATATAGCGACTGTGGAACGACCTTCATCGGGGCTGACCGTACTTTACGTGAGCTCTTCGTCGCTGCATCCACAGAGGGTCGTGGAATCGCACGCGTAGCTGCTGAACACGGCATACGGTGGCACTTCAATCCACCAGCAGCTCCGCACTTCGGCGGATTGTGGGAGGCAGCCGTCAAATCCGCTAAGTATCACTTACGGAGGGTGATAGGTGAAACCACCCTCACCTTTGAGGAACTGACCACTCTCCTCACACAAATTGAGGCCTGTTTAAATTTTCGTCCATTACAGGCACTCTCTGACAATCCAGACGATGTTATAGCACTGACTCCGGGCCACTTCCTGATCGACGCGCCGCTTCTCGCCATCCCGGAGCCAGTACAGGAGGACAACCGTGGATTCGCAGAATCACGATGGCATCATCTCCAGGCGATGCGAGACCACTTTTGGCGGAGATGGTCGGGAGAATACATCCATGGACTCACCTCACGACCTAAATGGCTGAAGGTCGAGACAACACCTTGCATCGGAGCATTCTGCCTTGTGCGCTCCGAGATTTCGCCTCCAAACCGGTGGCCTCTCGCCCGGATCACAAAACTGCATCCCGGCGACGACGGGATCGTACGCGTGGTCACCGTTCGAACCGCGACCTCCGAGCTCGTGCGTCCGCTCGTAAAAATTGTCTTACTTCCCGACTTCGCAACGGACGTAACAACACGCAACGCATAGACAGAAATGCACGACGCGTCACATCACTCACACACCTTTGCTCACGTTCATTCGCTATGCACTTGATTACACATCACATACGCACTGTAACCACTTTTCACATTCACGCACATTATTTCACATCGAAAACGCGTTTCACTATTCTCAGCTGATCGCACCACGCTGTCAACACGTGTTCATCGTTTCAGCTGATCGAGCGACATTCCACGCGATAATCACGGGTATCTCGCCGCGCCGGCGCGCACCTACCCCACTATCAATCGCGATCGAGAATTCATAGCGACTTATTGTCAGCGGGTGACAAGGCGGGCGGGATGTTCGAAATTGAGAAGAAAATTAATATAATTGTTTAAGTCTATAATTTCAGTCTAAAAATCGATATTTTTTTTACATGAATATGCGAAAAAAACCGCGGAAAAAAGGGCTCGCCCGATATAAACAAGTAGGTGATAAATCAGGATTATCCTAACAAGCTGTCAATAATAACAACATTGCTCAACCGAAAGCAACGATTACCGCATTGATTATCGATGTAATAGACATGCGCCGTTCGATCACGTGGCTTCCGAAAGCCAATCGATCCCGATATCGAGCGTTTCGCGCATGTTAGGTGCGTGCTTGTTTCGCGTAAATTACGGGGCGGCCAATAAAGACAGGCGCCCTCGCGTCACCTTCGAACATTTTTAAACAAACGAAATTAATTGGTGAAGAAAAAATTAGTGGGGCTTCAGTACCGCACCGATAAAAGAAGCGCCCACCAAAATTGGGCCGCTAGTCTCTCGAGTTTTAGTACGTACAACCGCTGTCAAACCGCTTAGAAATTACCGCAATTATTAACCGCACACGCACTTTGAAATCAATCTCGGCTTATCTATTGGAACTTTTGTAAAATTACTGTATCGTCTAAATTGTGTTAAAGTAAACTCTGTGTTATTTTTTAAAGGGTGATCAATTCTTTTCGGCCTTCAAATACGCGCTCTCCTTCACGCGTTCGCGCAAACAATAGTATAAAGGTTGTTCGAACTTTTTTTGTCTTTTAAGAATTTAATTCTTTTGTAAAAATAACGATTGATAACTTTTTTGGAGAAACAATTATTTCGTAAAATATTCTTCACTATCGTTAAATTTTTTTTATGAAACCGTTTATCAGATAGTAATAGAGCGTGGTCCACTAAATTGTAAATCGTATTAATTTTATATTTTAAAGGATGACTTGAAAGAAAATTTATATATCTGCCTGACTACGTCGGTTTTCTAAACCAATTTGTTACCAATTTATTATTTTTGCAACGCAACACAGTTGTATTTAAAAAATTTAATAACGAGTTACGTTCGATCTCATACGTAAACTTTAATGATACTTATTAAACGTAGATAGAACTATATCTAACTTTTCGGGTATTATTGCTAAAATATCGTCCACATATCTGTAACACACTAGTAAAGCGAAGTATGTTTATTTATTATTTATAACTAGATGCTTCCTTATAATAGGGTGACGTACGTTTAGGATTCGGATTTGGTAATTTAGGTTTTTCTTTCGTAAATCAATTAAATACGTAATTTATATATTAATACCGCATCTTTCTAGATGCTTTCTTAGGAGTATGGTTCTCCTTGTACATTCGTGAATTCTTATTATTATTATAGTCGTGGAACTTCTTCCATTGGTAGCGTCTTTTCTGCCCTTCTTTACGCTTCGTCTGTGTGGCGGCGTCTTTGAACGTTTTCTTCGACGGTGAGACAGATGGCGAAATCAGCGGTGGGACTCTCCAGAACACTGCACGTAAAGGAGATCTCTCTTTCAAAGGAGATCTAGACGGGCTGTTTAGTATGCTCCAGTCAACATCGTCATCCGGCGCTGGTATGGCTAGTAACCCTGTAATTAGATGATTAGTGTTTGGCGGTGATACGCCAGGTAAGCAAAAGTTGAATAAATCCGGCGTCGTAGCGTCAGGTATAATACTGTTAAATTCCAGCGGGAGTACGCCAGGAAACTTTGCTGGTTTAGGCGGATTGACGTCTGGAGTCTTGGTTTCTCTGAACAGGTATTTACCTGTAGGTTTCGGCCTCACTAGCGTGTATACGCCAGGTGTTCTCGTGAACTCGGGCAGTGTGGCGCCAGGTGTTCGGAGCCGTTCCGGCAGCGTAGCGCCAGGAGTTGGTGACCATTCCAGCGGCGTAGCGCTAAGTATTGATGGCCGTTCCGGCATCGTGGCGCCAGGAGCTGGTGGTCGCTCCGGCGGCGTAGCGCCAGGAGTTGGTGATTGTTCCGGCAGTTTAATGCCGGGGACAGCTGTCTTCTCCGGTGGGCAAGCGCCAGGAGTTCCGGGCTGTCGTAGCGTGTATACGTCTGTAAATAGTATATTGCTGACAATGCGAGGATACTGTTGCGGGTCTTTAAAAGGACTTTTTTGGTTCTTTGCAGGGAGCTGCTCACCTGTCCTCTTCTGCGCTAACTTATACAGTGGAGTTGGCCGGGTCCGTTTCCGGACTATTGCGAGGTCTTCCTCAAATCGCCTCTTAATTGAGATCTTGCTCAATTCTTTCCCGTATCTATTAGCGTCTAGCGCCATTAGTTCGGAAAAGTACTAAATGTGTTTTTCTCGCCGCAGGGGGCTTCCTTATACACCCTGCGTGGGTGTATCTTGACTGCGGGTAGTACGTTTGGCGCTTGCGCCGCGTAGCGGCAGCGCAAGCTACTATCGTGCGGGTAGCGCGCCCGCGCTCACTCTTTTTGCAAATAAATAGTCGCGGGCGGCTGCTATACTTGTTTCCCGAGAAAAGAATTAAATACGGCCGGTTGCCGCATTTGCGCTCTCGAAAAAGTTTTCTTATTTATTTTGTGGTTAGTC